GGAGAGATCGGAGAGGTGAGAGAGGTGAGAGAGGTGAGAGAAGTGGGTATGGGCCCTAACAGAGAGATCAGAGAGGTGAGAGAAGTGGGCATGGGCCCTAACAGAGAGGTGAGAGAGGTGAGAGAGGTGAGCATGGGCCCTAACAGAGAGGTCAGATAGGTGAGAGAAGTGGGTATGGGCCCGATCAGAGAGGTCAGTGAGGTCAGAGAGGTGAGAGAGGTGAGCATGGGCCCTAACAGAGAGGTCAGAGAGGTGAGAGAGGTGAGCATGAGCCCCAACAGAGAGGTCAGAGACTTGGGCATGGAGCCAATCGAAGGGTTGGTTGTCAAAGAGAGGGAGGCAGAACTGTTGTCTCTAATGTTGTCCGGGCCATCATCATTGATGATGTGGTGAACCGAGGCCTTACTATGGCAGAGGCTGTCAGATTAATTAATCCAAATCTAAAAAGATCAACTGTCAATTCTAACATCCAAACTTTTCACCAAGAAAACCAGTAAGTGTTTCCCATGTTGACTGCATCATCCACAGACCTGTTTGCTCTGTACGCAAACTGAAGAGGATCCAGCAAGGGTCCAGTGATGTCCTTCAGGTAGGCCAGGACCAGTCTTTCAAATGGTTTCATGACCACAGATGTGAGAGCGACAGGTCTGTAGTCGTTAAGTGGGCCCCAACATGAACATGAAAATGAGTGGGGAATTTAAGTAGGGTGACAAATGAGGGACAGACAGGTGAGGATGATTAACTAATAAAGACACAAACGGGAAACTAGGTCAGGGAACTAAGTGGGAGAACAGGGATACACAGAAACAAGGTCCATGCTTAGAAGAAAAGAAGCTCATTTGTTGCCACCTAGGTTGACTGTTGTTGAAATCGTTGTTGCTTGTATGGTATGAGATATGATATGAGAGAATTTATGAGCTGAGCCGAGTACCTTACGACAGTGGTTTTCAATCCTGGACCTGGGGACCCACAGCACTGCACATTCTGTACGTCTCTTTTCTGATACACTCAGTTCAGTTCATGGAGCTCTTTCCTAAGGAGCTGATGATCTGTATCAGGTGTGTTTAACAAGAGAGGCATATAACATATGCAGTGTTGTGGGTCCCCAGGACCACAATGAAAACCACTGCCTTTATGAGCACCTCCTGAGCTCTTGGAAATTTTTAACATGTTTGAAAAATATTGGAATCGGCCTGAATTTGACCAGTGTAAAGGCTCTCCCCTACTCCTCAATCATACACAACCACATCACATCACAGTGTTTCCCACAGGATTTTTTATTTTATTTTTTTGAGACTATGGAGGCAGGATTTTGGTCTTTCTGGGGGATCTGGGGACATGCCTCACCTAAGAAAATTTTGTACATTTTAAAGTTAAATGATACTGTATGGTATACTTTAAGAGCTCCAACCCGTGCTCAGTGTGGAAATTTAACAAAGAAAAAAGTATGCATTGACTCAACCCTCTTTTTAGTTATTGTAGACTCTTAAGTCTCTTAAGAGTTTTGTGAATAGGTTTAAAGCTAAATCTAGCTAGGACACCTAGTAGAAAGATAAAATTCTCTGTGAATACGGCCACAGATTCTGCCTTTCATTTAGAAGCTGGAATACTTCTTAAGATTTCAAAAGTAAGATTCACAGTTTGTGGCCACCATCAGAAAATGTCTGGTGTGACCTATCCAAATTGTCAATAAAATTAACTGTTTAAATGTTTTTAATTGTTTATTTTCGTGTAGGATTCTTTGAGAATGTGTGCATTGTTTATTATGAGGTGTATTTTCATTTAAATGTAATAATGTACACTGCTGGTCAAAATTTTGGAGTATATTGTAAACTAATTTATTTCTGTGATGCGCAGCTGTATTTTCAGCATCATTCCTCCAGTCTTCAGTGTCACATGATCTTCAGAAATCATTCTAATATGCTGCTTTGCTGCTCGAGAAACATTTCTGATTATTATCAATGTTGAAAACAGTTGAGCTGCACAATATTTTTGTGTACACTGTGGTTCAAAAAGTTAGGTTCACTAAGATGATTTTTCTTTGGCAAGACATTAATAGCAAGTATGCATTAAATTGATCACAAGTGACAGTAAAGACTTTTATGAACGTTGTATTCATAAAATAATCCTGAAAAAAATCAAAATTTACACACAAATATTTGTCAGCACTGATAACAAATCAGCATATTATACTGATTTCTGAAGATCATGTGACACTGAAGACTGCAGTAATGATGCTGGAAATACACAGCAATGAAATACATTTTGAAGTGTATTTGAAAAAGAATAGAAAACCGTTATTTAAAATTAAAATAATATTTCACAATATCACTGTGTACTGTAAGTTTGATCAAACAGATATAGTCTTGGTGAGCAGAAGAGACTTCTTTTGAAAACATGGAAGAACAGAAAAGCTGGAAAGATTGCAGATTAGTGACAGGTTGTGTAGAAACATTAGCAACATTAACAAGGTGATTCTCTCTCTCAGCTGCCAGAGAAGGATGATGAAGAGGAGGAGGAGGAACACGTTTCACATCTCTTTACTCTTTATGAATGTTGTTATTTTCTCTGTTTCTATACTTCTAACTATATTTCTGGTAATTGTAATATTGTTTAGGTTTGGCTTCTGATAGTGAAGCAGTGTTAAAGCAGCCTCAGGTGCCTCATGTACAGGAAACTCTTTTATCATGCCTTTATTTTTATATAGTTATATCAATAAAATAATTATCAATATTTCATTATTATATTATAATTATCAACATTTTCAATAAATATAAAACATTTTAATCAATGGTCACATTATTCCTTGATTATGTTATGTAATCTATGAATTGATGTGTGCAGTTTTCTGTGCTCAAATGGTTAAAGAACAGGTGTAATGTTCAAAATGTATTGTTTTATTTGTAGAAAGTAACACTGAATAAATGCTGACTAATAAATGAATGCAGTGTGTTTTGTCCATTTTCCATTAGAATTGAATATTTGTTTTGTATTGGTTTGCATTGCGTGTATGTAATGAATGTATTCACTAAAAATCCCCTGTAGCACTTTAAATCATTAGAATTTAGGAGGTATGAAGGTAGAATGACGTCAAAAAGATTTGCATACGCATCCATTTACTCTTATCTGATTGGTTCAATAAACACATCACACGCCAAGACATTAATCTTCATTTAGTTCAGGATCGTTGTTGCTGCCGGAATGGTACTTTTAACAAGTATATAAACTTCTTTTTCGTAAGGGATGTGAGCCGTTTATATATTTGTACAGTGTGATTTCATTCCTCTATAGCTCTTTTTTTTTTTTGTATTATGAAAGAGAATGGTGTCTCGGACTGTCAAGATCCAGAAAGACAAACTATCATAACAGTGATAATCAACATGACTCCCGTATACTCCAAGATTTCTGAAATATGAGAGCTTTGTGTGAGGAACAGACTGGAATTAAAGTTGATGTTTGTTGAAAACACTTCAAAACATCCTAACAGCATTGCAGTCATTTCTATGATTTTAAAGTTATTTTGATGAGAAATGATCAGATTCTTAGTATTTAAAAAGCTTTATATGCACATCAATACATCTTTTCCATAAATTAGTAAATGTTTGTTGCATGAAAACACCTGTTATGCAATAATAATATAATGCAATGAATTGGTTGTGTGATTTAATATACATATATATATATATAAAATATTCTTATTCTAATTGACCCTCTTGTAGTTTTCCACCAAATATGTTCAAACTAACTAAAGTGAAAGAGGACTGATTAACTGATTAACGCAATAATATAGGCTGTAGTCTCGGGGTCCATGTGATCGGGGGCCTCTGTTCACAGGTGTTTGCAAATATTTCCTGTTTTATCTATTTCTACAGTACTAGTAATTACTAGCGTTACTGGACGGAGGTTGTTAAATATCAGGCAACTTGCAAACACACAGCGCACATGACATCAGTTTCAGCTGAAAACTCACACCTGTCGATGGCTTTGGCAATGTAAAGCTTCTGAGCATGCTAATAAAGCTACTTGAGTCTGAATTTGTCTATTGCTGATCGAGTTTTCAAGCAGAAGGAGAGAAAACAGTCCAGATCTCTGTTCATATACATGTAAACACTCAATTATAGTAGGCTATCATTTAAAATATATCGCCCTGGTCGCAAGTTAGTATTCTGATTACTTGATTGATCAAGTTATGATATGTAGCTAGTATGGGTAACAAAATGCTATATATATATATATATATATATATATATATATATATATACACATATATATCTATATATATAAATTGAAAGCAACTGCTAGGGAAGTCACAACCATCTTTGTAAATATAAGGGTATACAGCCATCTAGTTTTCACACATGGTATTACAGATGATAAATGGTGCATTATTGTAAAACTGTCCCTTTATACAGCCAGTATTTCTGTTTTCTGGTCCCTCTGACTGGTTCTTGGTCCCTCTGTGTCTCCCCATTTAAACCAATAGACCGTAACCCTGTGTGACCTCAATCCAGCCCTGACCGAGCCTGTCAGGATCCAAAATGTGAGTCAATAAATATCATGGTAAAATGACTCATGCAATATTGACAAGTCTTCTGAAACAGTACAAAAGCTTTGTGAGGAACAAACCCAAATGAATGCCATTATTAAACTAACACCAAAATTTAAAAGCATAACATTTTGGAGATTTTTTTTTTAAAGATGTTTTTTTTTAGATGAGAAATTGATATTTGATATTTTTTCAGCTCAAGTTCTTCATGTTGATTCATGTGAAAGGGAGGAGCGTTTTCATGACAGAACCAGAAATAGAAGAAAATCTGATCAAACCTGAACTGCAGCTCGACTCCTGGTGAGTTTATCATTCCTGCAACAGCGTGTTTAATGCAAACGTGTTAGATTATTATTCTTATAAACCAGGATTTGTTTGTGATCTGAGATGCAGTGAAGATGGCAGCAGGGACTAAAGCTCTTCCTGGTAAGAGAGCGTTTGCTTACTCTGTTTAAGAAAGAAACTTCCAGTACATTAATTTAGTCTTAATGTCAGTGTATAGTTCAGATTGAAATGATGTTCCTCATGAATCAGCTGTTTCCACTGAATATCATTATAAATGACTCAGAAACATGGAGATGAGTTTAGTAGATTATATTTTTACTGACTGATGTAGTTGAAATTTGTGTTCATTTGCGGCTGTTTTACGAGTTCAGTTTTTGTACTGTTTGTAGTGTTTAATGTTTTTTTTTTC